ATGATTTCTTCATCGTAATGAACGTAAATGATTTGTCATGATTTCTTCGTTTATGTTTTGTCATGATTTCTTCATCGTAAATGTTTTGTCAAACATGAACGTACATGTTTTGTCATGATTTCTTCATCGTAATGAACGTAAATGATTTGTCATGATTTCTTCGTTTATGTTTTGTCATGACTTCTTCGTAAATGTTTTGTCATGATTTCTTCATCGTATATGTTTTGTCAAACATGAACGTACATGTTTTGTCATGATTTCATCGTATATGCTTTGTCAAACATGAACGTAAATGATTTGTCAAAACTTCATCGTATATGCTTTGTCATGACTTCTTCATCGGAATGAGCGTAAATGTTTTGTCAAACATGAACGTAAATGATTTGTCGAAACTTCATCGTATATGTTTTGTCATGACTTCTTCGTATATGCTTTGTCGAAACTTCTTCATCGTATATGTTTTGTCATGATTTCTTCATCGTAATGAGTGTAAATGACCCAAAAATAATGTTTAGGTGAAGAGGTGAGATCTCACCTCTTTTCTCACCTCTTTTCTCACCTCATTGAATTTTCATGATTTCTTCGTATATGCTTTGTCAAACATGAACGTATATGCTTTGTCATGACTTCTTCTTCGTATATGCTTTGTCAAACATGAACGTAAATGATTTGTCGAAACTTCATCGTAAATGTTTTGTCAAGATTTCTTCGTTTATGTTTTGTCATGACTTCTTCGTATATGCTTTGTCATGACTTCTTCATCGTAAATGTTTTGACATGATTTCTTCGTTTATGTTTTGTCATGACTTCTTCGTTTATGTTTTGTCATGACTTCTTCGTATATGTTTTGTCAAAACTTCATCGTATATGTTTTGTCATGATTTCATCGTACATGTTTTGTCGAAACTTCTTCGTATATGTTTTGTCATGACTTCATCGTAAATGTTTTGTCATGATTTCATCGTAAATGTTTTGTCATGATTTCATCGTAAATGTTTTGTCATGATTTCATCGTATATGCTTTGTCAAACATGAACGTAAATGATTTGTCGAAACTTCATCGTATATGCTTTGTCATGACTTCTTCATCGTAAATGTTTTGTCATGATTTCTTCGTATAGGTTTTGTCATGATTTCTTCGTAATGAGCGTAAATGACCCAAAAATAATGTTTAGGTGAAGAGGTGAGATCTCACCTCTTTTCTCACCTCTTTTCTCACCTCATGAATTTTCATGAGTTCTTCATCGTAATGAGCGTAAATGTTTTGTCATGATTTCTTCGTATATGTTTTGTCAAACATGAGCGTATATGTTTTGTCATGACTTCATCGTAATGAACGTAAATGACCCAAAAATAATGTTTAGGTGAAGAGGTGAGATCTCACCTCTTTTCTCACCTCTTTTCTCACCTCATGAATTTTCATGACTTCTTCATCGAAATGAGCGTAAATGTTTTGTCATGATTTCTTCGTAAATGTTTTGTCATGACTTCTTCGTAATGAACGTAAATGACCCAAAAATAATGTTTAGGTGAAGAGGTGAGATCTCACCTCTTTTCTCACCTCTTTTCTCACCTCTTTTCTCACCTCATGAATTTTCATGACTTCTTCATCGTAATGAGCGTATATGTTTTGTCATGATTTCTTCGTATATGTTTTGTCAAACATGAGCGTATATGTTTTGTCATGATTTCTTCGTATATGTTTTGTCAAACATGAGCGTATATGTTTTGTCATGACTTCTTCGTATATGCTTTGTCAAACATGAACGTATATGTTTTGTCGAACCTTCACTTTTTTGACGAAGTGCAAATCTTCACTTCGTGTCAAAACTTCATCGTATATGCTTTGTCAAACATGAACGTATATGTTTTGTCGAAACTTCATCGTATATGCTTTGTCAAACATGAACGTATATGTTTTGTCGAAACTTCACTTTTTTGACGAAGTGCAAATCTTCACTTCGTGTCAAAACTTCATCGTATATGTTTTGTCAAGACTTCTTCGTATATGCTTTGTCAAACATGAACGTATATGTTTTGTCGAACCTTCACTTTTTTGACGAAGTGCAAATCTTCACTTCGTGTCAAAACTTCATCGTATATGCTTTGTCAAACATGAACGTATATGTTTTGTCAAACATGAACGTAAATGTTTTGTCGAACCTTCACTTTTTTGACGAAGTGCAAATCTTCACTTCGTGTCAAGACTTCTTCGTAAATGATTTGTCAAGACTTCTTCGTAAATGTTTTGTCATGACTTCTTCGTAAATGTTTTGTCGAACCTTCACTTTTTTGACGAAGTGCAAATCTTCACTTCGTGTCAAGACTTCTTCGTATATGCTTTGTCAAGACTTCTTCGTAAATGATTTGTCAAGACTTCTTCGTAAATGTTTTGTCATGACTTCATCGTAAATGTTTTGTCATGACTTCTTCGTATATGCTTTGTCAAGACTTCTTCGTATATGCTTTGTCAAGACTTATGAAGGAGGCGTTGAAGATGTTATACCATCTAAGAACTTGAGAGAGTCAAAGTCAACACATCTGGGACCATTAGAGCGGGAGTACTGGAAAAACAAAAATAAGCCAGAAAGAATAAGAAAATTCTTCTAAACTTTTTCATTAGATGTAAATCAGACAAAAGAACTTTTAGAAGAATTTCCTCATATGATTGCTTCCTCGGAAAACCGAGAGAAGAGATTCCGTATGAAAATCGCAAGTTCTTAGATGGTATAACATCTTCGTAATGAACGTAAATGACCCAAAAATAATGTTTAGGTGAAGAGGTGAGATCTCACCTCTTTTCTCACCTCATGAATTTTCATGATTTCTTCGTAAATGTTTTGTCATGACTTCTTCGTAATGAACGTAAATGACCCAAAAATAATGTTTAGGTGAAGAGGTGAGATCTCACCTCTTTTCTCACCTCATGAATTTTCATGACTTCTTCATCGAAATGAGCGTAAATGTTTTGTCATGATTTCTTCGTATAGGTTTTGTCATGACTTCTTCGTAATGAACGTAAATGACCCAAAAATAATGTTTAGGTGAAGAGGTGAGATCTCACCTCTTTTCTCACCTCTTTTCTCACCTCATGAATTTTCATGACTTCTTCATCGTAATGAGCGTAAATGTTTTGTCATGATTTCTTCGTATATGTTTTGTCAAACATGAGGTATATGTTTTGTCATGACTTCTTCGAATATGTTTTGTCAAGACTTCTTCGTATATGCTTTGTCAAACATGAACACGTATAATGTTTTGTCGAACCTTCACTTTTTGACGAAGTGCAAATCTTCACTTCGTGTCAAAACTTCATCGTATATGCTTTGTCAAACATGAACGGTAAATATGTTTTGTCGAAACTTTTCATCGTATATGCTTTGTCAAACATGAACGTAAATGTTTTGTCGAACCTTCATTTTTTGACGAAGTGCAAATCTTCACTTCGTGTCAAAACTTCATCGTATATGCTTTGTCAACATGAACGTATATGTTTTGTCAAACATTGAACGTAAATGTTTTGTCGAACCTTCAATAGCCGTTGCGTGCTGAGTGATGGTTGTTGTCAAAATGTCATGTTGTCTCATTTTTTCAGAGAAGTTAAATGACCGAGTGACACATGGTGACGTAGTGACACCTTCAGTTCTTCAAAAATAATTCATAACTGCCTTCCTCCTGTGTTGTTGTCTAAATGTCATGTTGTCTCATTTTTTCAGAGAAGTTCATTAACCTGGTAGCACATGGTAACATGGTAGCACCTTCAGTTCTTCAAAAATAATTAATTATTGAATAACCTGAAACCATGAACGTAAACATTATTTTTGGATCATTTACGCTCATTACGATGAAGTTTTGACACGAAGTGAAGAATTGCACTTCGTCAAAAAAGTGAAGGTTCCCGACGGTTTCAAACCGCCATACTTTACATTTTGTACAAAAATATTGTGAGTAAATGAACTCATTATTTTTTGCATCATGACAAAACATATACGATGAAATCATGACAAAACATTTACGTTCATGTTTGACAAAGCATATACGATGAAACCTTGACAAAGCATATACGATGAAACCTTGACAAAACATTTACGATGAAGTTTATTTCCTGGACTGTTGTCTAAATGTCATGTTGTCAGTAATTTTAAGAGAAGTTAATTAACCTGGTGACATGGTGACGTAGTGACACCTAAAACCATCTACCCTAAACATTATTTTTGCTGAATTCAGCAACAAAATGAACGAGGTCAGGATGTATGCAAATACCTTTGAATTCATTCATAACGCCTTAGTAAGCTCATAAAATGCTTGTTTTGAGGTCGAGCCACTTTTGGCTTGACCGTATTCTTTCAACCAAAACTCAAGAATTTTCCTGTGTGAATTTTGTATAAAAAGCAACCGTCTGAATTCAGGCGATTGCTATATTCTTCACAAAATGCCTTATAATACTCTTCGTTCTACAAAGCAAGCATATCATTGGTTTGAAAACAAACAGACAAAAGAACTTTTAGAAGAATTTCCTCATATGATTGCTTCCCTCGGAAAACCGAGGGAAGAGATTCCGTACGAAAATTCAAGAGGGTGAAAAAAAGAGGGTAGAAATGAGGTTAGATCTACCCTTCTACCCTAAAATATATTTTGGGTCATTTACACTCATTACGATGAAGAAATCATGACAAAACATATACGATGAAGAAATCATGACAAAACATTTATGTTATACAGTAGTGTTAGTCATGAATGTTTGTCCTACGTGTTGGCGTTAGTGTTGAAAAATAATGTTTGTCCTACATGAACCCGTACAAGCGTTTGAATTTGTTTATGCATAAGATTACTCTCTTGTTTTCTGTATCTATCATATACTATTGTGAACAGCATGAGATTGAAGTAATGAGTAAAGGAGACTTTGAAACGCTTATGAAAGACAGTAAGAGGTCATACATGCAATAATGAAATAGTTCATGAGAACAGTGAGGAGGTCATACATGCAATAATGAAATAGTTCATGCAATAATGAAAAGTTCATGAGAACAGTGAGGAGGTCATACATGAGAAACAGTAAGGATGTCATACATGAGAACAGTAAGGATGTCATACATGAGAACAGTGAGGATGTCATACATGAGAACAGTAAGGAGGTCATACATGAAACAGTGAGGAGGTCATGAACTTTGTCATGGTCTCTGTCCCTAGTAGTTTTCATTATCTCACAGAATAAATGAAAGTCATACTTTCTATCAGATGAAGCATGCAGATGAACATAATGAAAGTTAGTGAGTTTGCCACGAGTTATGAATAAAATATTGGCATATTAGATGAGATAGCTGATGAAACAGATGAAGATAAATTAAATCTTGACTTTGCACACTCTGTCCCTAGTTCCTCAAAATCCTTGACACTGTGCTTAGAAATTTTGGTTCAAAACCTCATCTGATTTTAATCTGTTATGCTACCTGTTAAGTTTCGCGAGATTATAAATGTCATGGAGTTATATAAAAAGGAGGGACAGCTAGCGATACTGGAAGTACTTGTAAGGCTATCTGTTAAGATTGCATGAAATACTAAAAAGTCATGAAATCCATTATCGCTGTGCTAGCTTCACCTTTGATTGAAATGACAAATAAAGTCACTGAAGCAATGAAACAAAAGTTCTTGGTAGAATACATTAAATCAGGAACTATTCCAGAAGGTTTTTACATTCATACTATGAAGGATGGTAGAGTTCAGTTTAGAAAGATAAAGCAACCATTAGATAAAGAAGGAATTTTGAGAAAGATTAAACTTCATGAGGACAACATTGCTAAACTTAGGAAGAAGTTAGAAGAGTTGGAGAAAGGAAGAGAGTTATAAAGCAATGAATTCAACAGGGTGAAAAAAGAGGTGAAAAAAGAGGTGAGATCTCACCACTTCACCTAAATTTATTTTTGTGCTATGTTTTCATACGTGTGAGGGTGGTGATATCATTTATTTTTAAGTTTATTTTTTATTTTATTTATATAAAATGACGAAAACTATTGAGATAACAAACTACAACGGTCATGAGTTCAAGAATTTGTTCTTCGTTCCTCGTGAAAATACATTCTATCAGATACGAGGGAGAAAGGGTAAAGTTAGTTTGAGCGTTTATGACAACAAACATAATGGGAGATATATAAAGCAATAGAACAAACGGTAAGCGTGTTTCATTAGCTTTGTCAAAACTTACTAACATTTATTTTGACAGTGACTTTGACTCTGACGATTGGAGTGACAGCAGCGATACTGAAGAATATGAACTATTGTGTGAAGCACAGCAATGGGAAGCGCTGCAATACTTTTGTAAATGAGAACATTAGTGGGAACGTTAGTGAGAACGTTTATTTTTTCATTAGTGAGGTGAAGTGGTTGGCGGCTTTGTAAATATTTAAGGTTAAGTTAGTGTTGTCGTTTGTGTTGTAAAATATACGTTAACGGTTTTGTAAAGTGTCAAATTCACATATAATGGGTAAGGAGGCGCGCAGTGCCTCCGTACCCAAGATAACCATACTAACTATAATGTTTCATATGAAAGAACAGCACCGAAGGAAGACGAAGTTGAAAGGTCTATACCATTCGTTATTAAGAATATAAAAGATATGAAAACGTATAAGCATTATATTTATTCATTTATTTCAGAAAAAATGGAAGCAACCCATAAAACATCTTCTCATCATTTTATAGCTATTCATACATTCCTTTTCAAAGTTGTGAAATTAAATAAGACAGGAATTAGATTTAATGTATCAGGGTACGCATTCTTGAGTAAATTAAAATGTATTCGTCACGTCGCAGATGATAAAAATTTATGTGTTCTTAATTCATTTTATGGGCTTTAAATAAACTTTATTTTTATTTATTTTTTAATTTTTTATTCTTACATAAATGAACAAAACGGAACAGCTAAAATGAATGATAATCAAATTAGAGCAGAAGGTAGAAGGTTATTTAAACGCTTCTATAACATTCCTGATGGTGTTAATCCTAAAACTCGTAGAAGTTATTTAAATGAAGCAATAGATGCATATGAAGGGTTTGACATTCATCAGAAAGTGAGAGATTAGCGAGAATGTTAAATGTTAATATTGATTTCTATTATTGTGATCCTCAACCAGAAGACGTGGACATAAATAAGGTAGACTTTCCATTAGTGGAATCAATATGATAGATCCAGAATTTGAAACAGTAAATATTTTATTAACACAGAGTCCATGTGGAAAACTTCACGCTGACAGAATAACAGACGTTGAAGCACTCACCGGCTATAAAGTTTGTCCATATTGTAAAGAAGAAGTTTATTCTATCCGCGATGATCCAGAAAGGAAAAACCAAAGAAGATTTTTAAAGCATTGTGAGAAATGTAAAGAAAATAATGGGAGATTAATTCAAGACGTTCAGTTGCAAAAGACACAGCAACAATATGCACCACATATTACGAAACAGAAATATATCAGTGGTTATTAGCTCACAATTTGCAGAAATATTATAAACCGACAAGATATTATATTACTTTTGACTTTGAAACATTAGAGACTAAAGAAGAATTACAACTTTCTGAGTGTGCAACTTTGAATGCTTACTTAAAACCATTCATGGTATCATCAACGGTTAATTAAATGATAAAACATATACGAGGAATTTTTGCTTAACTTCAAGTGATTCTTTATTTTCTGATTGGATTGAGTTTTTATTTTCAACCTGTTCATTATTGCTAAATCAAATATTGAACAATATGAAGAATTATTGAAGCCGCAAACGGTGGGGACTTTGTCTCATACATTAAATGAAAAACAGAAGGAAGCATTTAAAGAACTTCTAGATGAGGAATTCAATAAAGTGAATATCATAGGTTTTAATTCGGGAAAGTTTGATTTAAATTTAATTCTTCGTGATTTAAACACTGCAAAATGGAAAATAAAATCAATGCTGGGTTCATCTTCACAATTTAAGCAAATCATTGTAAAGAAAATAATTTCTAAAATTAAAGACAAAATTAAAAATAATGAATATACAAAGGGAAAAACTAAATCACAACTTAAACAATTGAAAGATTTCAAAAATAAAGTATTAACAGAAGAAGATATTGATGAATTATATAAATTATATAATCATGAGCCGCAAAAATTCTCTATCAAAATTTGAAATAGAAAGTGTTTCAAATAATTCATCCCGTTGTTTATCAATAATTTTATCCTCTAATCCTTGCTTCTTGATTGTATTATATAATTCTTTATACATTAAAAAGTTTTTTAAATAATCTTCTGCTTCTTCTTGTGATAAATAAATAATTGGAATTTTGATTAAATGCTTTAAAGATTCAAATGTATCATCTGAAGGTGAACCTGAACGGTTGATATAAATTAACACATGTGAATAGGGGGAAGTGTTAGCAATAATGATAATTTGTTTTAATATCGTTAATGTTTTACCTTTATTTTGTTACCAATTGCTGCAGTGATTGAATTTAAGTAACATTCAGAATATGGAATTTTCATTAATTTTTCCTTAGATAGAGCATTTCTATTATCACTCAATGCTTCATTAATCATATCATCTACGTATGTATTATATACTCCTGCTAATTCTTCATAAGGGGTGGATGAGTTTAACTCCATTTAATCAAAAATAAATTTATAATTTTAAACATTTCTATTCATCAATATTTCATCATATGAACTTCTATACTGCGGTGGTGTACCTGTTGGATGATATTTCAAACCTTCATCCGGTGTCCATGTCCAATATGTAGTCCTAGTAAACCAAACCTGAGGAGGATTTGTCACCTTTGAACAGTAAGTGTCATTTTCACCCTGAATGATTGGATAAGCTTTCACTTGTACTGTAACTTGTGAGTTGAAAGTTTCTAATCCATCAAAGAATATACCCGCTCCATCACGTTGAACTGGAATAGTGCATAAGAATGAAGTTTGGTCTTTCCATGTTCTAGCTAATGGCGCGCCATCATCATCATTCAGTGGTCTAGTTAATGAGTCCTCGTATTCTTCCGTGCATTCATTCACTCCATCTAAATCAGAAGCTTGAAGCATACGTGTAAAGAATATGTCACCCACTGTGGTCATCGCTTGATCGGGGAAGTTTCTGGAATCTATAGTGACCTGAAGACCTCGAAGCATTGGATTTTCTAAAACTGTTCTTTGCATTGCATTCTTTGGAAATGTTAACACAACATCTGTAACATTATGATGAGCGTATGAGAAATCTGAGCTAATACCTTCAGGAGTGATGCAACCTCCATTTAGTGAACGAACGTCAATATGTTGAGCTGGAATCATGAATGGATCTTCCTTACTAAATAAACGTGGTATTGCTTTAACTGATTCTTCAATTAAACCGTATCCTGGTGTAATGCATTTATCCTCTAAAACTTCCATCTTTGTGCATGAAATAATAATGTCATCAACTGTTGCGTCAGCAGATGTAGCGGCTAAGCTTGTAATTAATTTGGCAGGAAGTCCGATTTGTTGGAATTTGCGATCATATTTATAAACATGATTCATAATCTTTTCATAATTTTCATCAGTTATCTTTTCATAAACGTAATTTTGTAAATCAGCAACTCTTAACGGGTCAACCTGACAAAATACTAAAGTATCCCTGAAAACATAATATTTAAGAATGATATCACCAAATGATTTAGGATAATCATCGAACGCCCGAAATGCTAACAAATCATTTATCGGAATAATCATATCAAAAGTGACATCAACTTCTTCATTTGCTCTCTTGAAAACTTCTGAAGGGTCAATATATTTACCACATACTGAGTTATCATATTTTTGAACATTATTATATAACGAATGAACAAACTTTTTAACTTTCCTTTCTGATTTTGGTTTATATGTTGCAAATGCAAAAGATTCGCGGGCGCAATCCATCTGAAGATAACCAGCATCACCTCTTTCGGTTTCTACTTCTAATTGTTTAAAGCTTTGATTTGATGATTTGTAACCAACGAATAAACGCATGCATTTAAAAGCGGCATCACATGTGAAAGCTTTATTTGAAACTAGAGTTGCTTTAACTTTGCGTTTAATATATGTGTCACCTAATTGGTTCACATCATGAGCTGGATTTGTAATTCTTAAATGAGTTTGTTTATCATCAAAATATGGAGCATCAGAGTCATAGCATGAACTTTCAAGTTCTCTATAATATCTTCTACCGTCA